TATATATATATATATATATATATATAGGTTTATATTTATCTTCAAAGTTTGTCAACTTGATAGAATATAATTATCCACATCTTGTTTCTCATGTGATTTTCCTTATTACTACTAATGTGAATTCTAACTTTTTAACATTTGAACTGTTTCTCTGAGCCCGCTTTTTGTGCTCGCTTTTATAGGTTGCAGTACATTAAATAATCAACACATGAAAAAGTTGCTTCCCTGTTTCAAAGTGTAGTCCTATTGGTAAGAATTGAGCTTTACATGGAGCTGCCACTGGATAAAAGCTGTTATTCATTTATTTTAGTATATTGTGCCTAAACAACCTGTAGTGAAAAGCTGTTACTCACTGCTAGGCAACATTTATTTTAGTATATTGTACCTAAACCTCCTGTAATGAAAAGCTGTTACTCAGTACTAGGCAACATTTATTTTAGTATATTGTACCTAAACCTCCTGTAGTGAAAAGCTGTTACTCAGTACTAGGCAACATTTATTATAGTATATTGTGCCTAAACCTCCTATAGTGAAAATTGTGCTGTCACCACATAGAACATCATCAGTCATGGAAGAAGGAGCTATAAAGCTTAAGTACTCGTCCTTATATTGTGAACGATCTTGTTTATAATCTTAAAAAGATTAACCATCTGCTTCAGAAATAAGTGTGTTTATATCAATAATGTAATCTGTGAATAGATCTGTAAGAGATAAGGTTTAACGAATGTTGTTAATTTACAGTTTTATAATTCACGTTCAAAGTGTCAACCGTTTTACTTTATAGTAAAACTTCCGCTTCCTTTGATTTTTGTGTTCTTGCTGTATCATCTAACCGTTGTTTTTTTTTGGGGGGGCATACTTTTTTCACGTTATTCATGCGTTTTTCAAGTAATTTCTCAATGTTCTCGAATGATTATAGTAATAATTGTACAGGTTAAAGTGCTGTATGCAAGAAATTTGACTGCATCAGTAACTGAAGAAAAATTAAAAGAAATATTCGAAGGTTATGGAAGAGTGGAAAGAGTGAAAAAGATCAAGGACTATGCATTCATTCACTTTGAAGATCGTGAATGTGCTGTCAAAGCATTGGATGCAATGAACGGCAAGGATGTTGATGGAGCTGCTATTGAGATCTCTTTAGCAAAACCTCCTTCGGACAAGAAGAAGAAAGAAGAAGTACTAAGAAACCGGGAAAGAAGGATGATGACCATGATGCAACAACGAGCAATGTAAGTATCAATGTAGACTTGAATTCATACTCGGGTCGGTTCTCTTTATAGCCCTACCTTTCATAGCTTCTCTGATATTCCCCTGTTATTTAGAAGCTTTTTCTAATGTTTTCAGTTCTTTTCTTGGTGGATGGGGGGTTATTGTAATTATTTTTTTGATTATCTGTAAACATTCACAGGGAGTTAAATTGAAATTAGGTTATCCTTTTGAGAAAAGTCACAAGTCCATACATTACATAAAATCTGTAAGGGATCTTCCTCTGAATTAAATCAGTAAATACTAAATTTTACAATTCTTCCTGAAATTAGGTTGTCCTTTTGAAATAGGTCAGAACTGTACAAAAATTGTTTTCAGAGATAACTAAAGTATTCTTTGTGAAATTATATACCGTAACAGAACATTACACGATGACTTACACAACTTATATGTAACAGCTTTACGTTTTACTGTTATCATGTTGCAGTTAGCATCTATATCTTGCTCTTTTCTCATAAACATTTTTCACTGTGACCCCAGAAATTTGACGTAACAACGTGCCGTATAAACAGCCTATCTGAGAATCAATATGTACAATGTCTTCTGTCGTGGCAAACACAGCTTGCATTGCACTTTAAAATTATTTTTCTTTCGTGATAAAAATAACTATTAAACTTACAAGATGAAAGAACCAATCTTGTGGTAGCCTCTGTTATGCTCACAATGGAGCTGAATAATTCATGCTTTAGCTAGGTTGTATCATAAATACAATATTATAACCATTGGGCCCCAAAAGATTTTCACAATTTCCAGCTATATCTTTCTTGTAAATTCCTTACTTTTGTACGTTTTTCTTGTAAATGATTTAGAAGTCACCCATTAATTAATCTGTAACTTAATATTTAACTTAAAGCTCTGAAATAATATGTACATAATCTACAGCGAGAAAGAAATGTACAATAGTTAACTCGTGTTTTACAAAATTAACCGGAGGAGGTTACAATTTTTAAATGAAGGTTATTCATTTACAAGTTTTTTTCAACAAGAATGAAAATTAGTTCATAAAGTTGCTTTTTCCGTGAGAGGTTTTTGTTTGGGTCACACAGGACCCTGTTATATTTGACACATGGTATTTTATGTGCTGTTATGCAGATTGTTAAAACATCAGAGACCGTTTTAAAATACTATAAAAAAAAAACACTTTTTTTTTCTTCCATAATTCAAGGTGATTGTCTGAAGAGTTTAATTAAAAATTTAATGTTTCTTAAAGTCCATCACATCAGAATGTAGGAGAGGTGGATTAAATTAGTTAAAATATCAGAGGCTGTTTTAAAATCCTATAAAAAGACACTTTTTTTTTTGCCTCTGTATTCCAAGGTGATTTGCCTAAAGAGACCTTAAAGTTCGACTTACATTCTTGTAGCATTAGACTTGTTGACTGTAGTGATACGATGCACCTTTATCTTGAACGTTTCTGTGAAGAAAGTTACGTGTTACTTGTGGGATGTTACAAAACCTGAAGTGTTAGTTCAAAGTACGCTACTTATAAGAACCACTTAGCTACAGGAATAATTTCAAAATGTACAGTTATAGTTAGTACAGATAATACTAATTTAAATTTTGAAATGTCTTGTATGTAGATAATAAATCCAGTTTGGGTTTTGTAAGATAAAAAAAAATCACTTCCATCTGTAGGTTTATAAAATTGACGTCTTTCTGTTTAAAACTATTTCAACTTGACAGGTTCAAGAAACAGACCGCATAAAACAGAGTACTGACCTTGCTCTCAGGATAAGTTAGGACTAGCAGATCTATTGGATAATTTCTTAAGAGTTTGTTATATTGTCAGTTATTTTGTGTTAAAGATTTTTCAGATGAACATGATGTTGTGATGGCTGTACTTATTATTTTATGTAAGAAATATGTTTTAATCCACGATTACGCAGATCCATTAACTGCATAAAATAGTCTTTGATACTCAGTTTGTTAAGCAGTAATTGAGTGAAGTTAGTTGAAATTTAAATCTTTTTTTTTTCCTAAAGTCCTAATTGAACTTTTTACTGTACATGAAAATTTAACACATTAAAAATAGTTGACCATTATGTTACCTAAATATGAAGTATATCATTGATGTTCAAAAAATATTGTTATTATTTATATTATTTTTTAAAGCTTTGTTTTTTTATAGGATGATGGGAATTCCACCACCTCCTCGTGCCAGAGGAGGGAGAATGCCGCCTTCTGGACCCAGAAATTATGGTAGGTTGTCATCCCCAATTTTCTTTGATAACTCTTTCTTTTGTTTGGTATGTTTTTTTTTAATGTATTAGTTTTTTTTACACTTTTCTGTTTTTCCCGGCATGTAACGTTTAGATATAAAGTAGCTCTCCTTATTCGTGTTTTGTGTTTACCAGCCTTATTTCAACCCCCTTTCCCTCACACACACATACACAAAAGAAAATTATTATTACTTTTTGTTAGATTATGACTACGATTATTATGGTTACGGTGACTATTGTGGAGGATACGCAGATCCATACTATGATGACTATTATGGCCCCTATGATGACTATTATGAATATGACTACGGATATGTTCCACCACCACCACCACCAAGAGTACGAGGAGGACCAGATAGGGTGGGTTGCAAGAATAAATTGTTTTAAATTTGAACGTAGAGTTAGTCTCATCTGCCCTCTTTTCTAATTTTTATCATATCCGAGCTGTAGGCTAGAAGCCGGGAAAAAACAGTTGGGTTATTGTTTGTTTTCAAATGTAGAATTTAATTTATTGGTAATGTGTTGAATCTAGTAGCTCGGATATGATAATTAAGTTTTTAATACTTAATTTCAATTGGAAAAACATCAGATTGGAAGTTTGACAAAATAAATTAATAAATATAAGTAACTTAGAAAAGAGGGCAGTGTTAGAAATTGATGACAAATTTATTTGTTCTTTACCAAGACAGGATTCATTGATAGTGATTTTAAGCTTCAACAGATGGGTGGTTTTGTTTCCTTCTAGATCAGCTATTATAGTCAGTAATACACTTGTTAATTTTATAGAAAAATTTTAGTATAATTATCATAAAAGTACAAAATCTTTTAAAAGAATATTTATGAGAAATTTTAATTTACTGAAAATTAGTGTTAGATTTAAAATGTGGCCATTTGTGGATTATTAGTTACTATAAAATGTTTTAAAGTCAGCTTTGTGGTTCGCATTATCTAGTGTGAAAGTAATAACCTATCATTTTTTTTAAAAATGTGTGATGATAAGTATCATATTTGACTCCTTTTTAATGAAGCTCATGAAAGCCATTGGTTACTCCCTAAAGATGTAATGTAAATTAAAGACTGTTAATTAAATAAATGGGATGGATGTGGCTTGATGGTTAGCTTGCTTAGACTATGAATATATGGACTTATATGTTCAGTTGGTGTAAAATTACACTGTACCTTGGGTCAAATCTTACTACTTGTTCAGACTAGCTGCCTTCTTTTTAATCTACCTGTTCAAAGTTAAAGATGGCATGCACAGATATCCCCTTTTATATATTTGTACATGAATTTTGAAAACCAGTATATTAAGTAAATTATTATGTTATTAGAGCAACTTAATTTCCAACTGAACTAAATTAATTTTATTTTGTGATATCGGCAATAAAAAAAATATTAAGAAGTATGAACCCTGATTCAAACAGATGTTATATTTGGGACTACAAAAAATTCACTCAAAATCTGAGAAACTCGTATCATTTGATCAAATTGTTCTACACAGTTGTTCTTTTACTATACTTGTATGTTCTCTGTATCTAATAAAATAGCTTAATAAACAAACTGAAGTTAACATGTTTACTGTTTTTTTAAACAGTAACTAGATATTTTTCTTTTACTGAAACTGTGTACAAGGTACAAATATTTGATAATTTCACAATCTTTTACTGGAAGATTTTATATCTCGTTGTGTGTCTAGTTTAATTTTACAGTATTTTACTGGTAAAATCTTTTCTAAGTTTACTCAATAATTCAGACATCATGTGCCCGGGCAAAATTCTGGCCTCACTTTTAGCGTATCCCCCCCCCTCTCCAAATCAGCATTCATAATATTGACATAAGCCAATCAGCATGCTCTATCCAATATCAATATTGAGAATATGTCAGTCCCAATTACACACATTAGTTGTTATTCAAAGTTCATATCAAACATAAGGAAAAAACAATATAACTGTATATTATACTGATACATACCTGTATTAATTATCAGTGAATTACGTAAGGTTCTTAGTAATGATTGGGAATGGTGTTGTGTATGTTTTAGCACATGGATTGCTGTATTTGTTATTGGATTGTTTTTTACGGGAGAAAATCGTTAATTGTACAAGGTGCATATCATAAAGTGGTATCATTTTAAATTGTCTTTCTCATTAACTCTTTCAGAAAGGGCATCGTTTTGTGTGCATGTCAAGAGCTTTTAGTGAGTTGCATTTAAAATTTGATTAAACTATTTTCTTATCATGGTATATAAATAAACTTGGCATAAAAGTATAGCTAATAATCCAAGTTTTAATATTATATAAGTTTTAAGTTCTTGATTTTATAAGGCAATATTAAAAAAAAAACATCAGTTTACTGTAGTGGGAGAATTGTGACATTTCCTTTCAAGGTATCCCCTCTTCTCTAATTTATTTACCACCCCTCCAAGAAGTATGAAATTTAGCAAAAATTACTCATTATAATGTTCTCATTGCTCAGGTAAAGCATAATTTTTATAACCTTCAATTTTATTTGGTTACAGAGCCATCAAATAGAAAATCAGATCTCACTTGCCACGCCCACCTGTCACATTCTCTCTGTCAGAAATTGCCAATAGTTCTCTCTGATGTTTAATACTATATTACTTATAACCAATAAAAAGCCAAGGTTTTAATCTGTCAAATGACGTATTATATGACATTGTTTTCTCTACAGAGAATTGCCTATATTGCTTCCAGTTCAAACTATTTCAAGCTGAGCTTTTAACGGCTCTTGTAGCATAGTTACATTGTTAGAAAGCCATAAAAATTGTGATAGTTATGGGATATTGTCTGCTTTATGTACGTTGTTATTCTGTGTTTTGTGGTGCATTATTCAATTAAATTAAAAATCATTTAGTGCAGTAGTACCATTAATATAAAAAAGTAGGGTTAAGTGTCATCGACAGTTGACAGCAAAAAAAACGAAGACCCGTATAAGTGCTTTATTTCATGTGTATTCTTTATTTATTATTAAGTAACTAAAATGTAAAAATGAGAAACTTTTAGGTTAGATATGATTAGATTAGAGAAAGTAAAGAATAATAATTATAGACTTTCACGAGGTATGCTCGCGAGTAGCTCGTGCATTATGTAATTTGATAGGGTAACATGAGCTCCAGTTGATTTACAAATTTTATGGTGGAAATATTAATTTATACACATTTCATACGGCAATAAAATGTAAGTAAACACAGATGTATACTGTTACAAGTTGAAAGCTATTTAGGATAAACAAATGTAGTTTCATGTTACAACTTGAAGTCATCCTGGAAAGTAAAAAGGCTAATTTAGATTTTTTTTTGGTGGTTATGAAGTTGATCAAACTTAACAACCTCGTATATAGAGTTAGGGTGGAGAAAATAGCAGAAAAAATACAAAGTTTTACTGAAAAATAATGTTTTATAATTACTTAGTATGTTTTAGAGATTACACAAAATTTAACATTTTTCAGATGAATAAAAATATTTTTAATCTTAACACGAAAATCACTTTGGACTCGGACTAGCGAACAAAATTACTCGATATATTCACGGACAAATCTTTATTAAAAAAATCTAATTTTTTGTGTACAAAAGTCTTGCAATATTTACTGAAAGTATGCCAGCTTTTGTAAGATACACTTATTGTACTGTATTTGTTGGTGTATAGGACGACATCTATTGTCAAGCAAGTCTAGGATGTTACTTTCTGTAAAGAAATTGTCAGAAGTTATTTTGAAACTGTGCTAACCTGCACTCTGTAATCACTACAACCAAATTGTGGTTTTTTTATGCTCTTCAAATGCTCCAGACAGCTCAATGCAGTGTAACTTAAGTGACAAACATGTACTAAAGAACTTTACGAAAGTTTTTATCACATTTGAACTCCTTTTCTATTACAGAAAAATGTTAAACCTTAAGATACAGCGATCTACTATAAAAACGTTTACAAAATTAGTGTACATCATAGAACCTTTTTTGATATAATATTACCAATATATTTGTATGACGGGTGAGATCAATATATCAAATCAAAAATGTCTTGATTAATTGTAACTAGCATGTGAAATAAATAACTTTTAGATGTGAAGAATCGAGACAAATGATACAATCGCAGATATGTTATTGTACCCCAGTCGTTGGCACGATGTTCAACACACTTACTCAAAAAAAGCTAAAGTAAAAGGAACAATGTAGTTTTGGTTAAATATGATATTAAACTGAGAGTTCTTATTGGAACTCTTATCTCCGAACCCGTGTATAATACAAGGGGTCAAATCAGGCATCGTCAACTATGGTATTAAATATTATACTCTAACAAGTGCAAAAGGGTTATGAACTTGGCCAAATCGACTAAGCCCGTGTGTAAAGAGTTAATCTATAGCTATAATTGCATTTTCAGCACTTAAATCAAACTTTTTATATTGCTGACCAGAAACAAAAGACCAATTAGAGCACAAAAAAAAAGTTTCTCAGAATTTTAAGTCAGAATGAGTTAAATTGCAAGATACTAAGAGGTTTTGGCACTGTTTATTTGGTAAAAAATACATGGCAGTGGGTATACATGTTGACACAAAAAAATCCTACCGGGATTACAAATCTTGATCGATATTTGAAATGTATGTTAAACAAAGAAAAATACATTAAGTTTTAGAAACTGTTTTTATATTATTTTGAATGAAGACAGATTATTTTATTGGTTCCAATTACCAGAAATTTTATTTTTTATTTATTAATTAATTTATTTTTATAGGTTTAATTAAAAAACAAACAAAAGTACAATCAGTATTTTAATCCTTCAAACTGCGTGTACATATACACACGTGTTTTTGTGTATACGTATACACTTATGTGTAATGGAAATAACTAACCCTAAAATAAACATTTCCTTCATTAAACAGCATTTTCACTTTGTGAATGCATTTGATACAGAAATATGAAGTCTTTGGGAGTCGTACTTAACCCTGAATTTTGTCTTATTGTAGTGGAAGGTTTGTCTGAGTATGAATATTTGATAAATTTATATCTTTTGTTGTAAGAAAATAAGTAAGTAAACAAAAGTTTGAATAGGAAAATCCCATCACAGAAATAATTTTATAACTATTGGAGATCATAATAATAACAATATAGTAGATATGAAATATCTTGGTAAAAAAAAAAATTGTTACATGGATTGAGACCTTGGCATGTATAGAAATATTCTCGTTCTAAATGTCCACTTCATAATATGCATAGTGATGCGTCACACAAAAGAATGCTCAGATCCTCAATCCATGTCTTGCGATACGACGTCCTGCTTCTTCAGCAGACTCCTCGTTTGCCTGGGAATTTTTTGGTATTTGCTGTATGTCTTTGCTACATAAAAATGTTCTGTCATCGATATTTCTGATGTGCTCTTCACGCTGCAAACTCTAATCGTGATCAAAACTTTTTAAATTTAAATTACGATGACATCATCACGTGTTATATTATCACTATAAACTGTGGAGACCATTATAACATCCTGTTTTGTTCTTTAGAGTACAGAAAATCAAACAACTAAATGGACTTAGTGGTTCTGTTGAAGTTGAGTTTGATCACGATTCATTTTGTGGTGTTAATAACGTATATTTTGAAAATAATAATAAATGTATAACTCATCATGCATTTCACCTGCCAGTTAGTGGGTATTGCAGCGACTAAATATCGGTAAACTACCCTAAAACTCCACACTGTACGGGTGCATGAACTAGTAGGATACTGAAAGGTGAAGAAATAGTATTGTTCTCTACTAGGTTACGTTAATGTTTTATGTTGGCGTGTTCTGATGAAGCCTGGCTTCTCTGTTGGTGAGTGGCTAACATTGCACTCATGATTTCGTTGCAAAAATAAAACTAGTCGATAAAATTGAAATTTGACAAGAACTTTCCTGAAAGTACTGTTGTTTCCAAAAAATAAAATATTTTATGTAGTTAATAGCACTCGTGCTCTGAATAATTCACCTGCAAAGTGATTTTTATGTTAAGTATAAAAAAAATTATTTATTAATCAGTTTTCACATTTCACTTACATAATCTTCAGAACTTCCTAAATGAATATCAAAGGTTTTTTTTAAGGTAAATGTTTATATTTTATTTGCCATTTTCTCTACAACACCTCTAGCTCTTATAAAACAAAAAATGCAATAAGTTGATTTTTTTATTAAACACCCACTTCAAAAATTCACTATTTTTTAAACTCTCCGAGTTATTCGGCTAAGACAACTTGTGCAAAAAATAAAATAAAAGCAGGAAGAAAATATACAATAAAAGTTTGATTTGGCTAATGGCCAAAACTATAATGCTGGTATGTTTAGGAGTAAAACAGATATGGCAGGCAAGGTAATTTGTAAGAAGGAGACTTACTGTGTATTTGTAACACGTTCCTTATCTTTGTTTTATACAACAGATTCTACAAAGATCAAACATATGTAAATCTGTATGTTAATTTTTTTAAATAATTTTACTCCCCAAATACAAACTACAACAGTTTTTTTTTTATTACTTTAAACAAAATCCTAAACCTAAAAAAAATCACGGATGGTTTTGAAGGAAGAGATAAAACAAAAAGAACCAAATATGGAATTGGATGATGATGTCTTCTTTTGTAAAAATCACTAGTTACTTAACTGCTTATGGTGTACGTAGCTGATTAACTGGGGTTATCGAAGAGTGTGAAGATATTATTACTGTTGAAAAGTCACATGGGACCCAAAATTATAGGAATTACAAAACGAGAAACTATAACGGTCAACCTTCAAAAGTTCTCGAGTTATTTGTCGTTTGATCTGAATTCTTTTGATAATTCTGTCCTTGGTAGAATGATTTCTCGTAAGAACCACATTTCATAGAACTGCTTATTCAGGAGCTGCGTTGCTGCTTTATTGAAGGTTAAGATGCGTGTCAGTTTAGTTCCTTGGAAAATTGAAGGTGAAAGTGCAAGAGAATTGTGTAAAAAAGACACTTGCTCTGTGCGGTTGAGAATATTTAAATTGTAGAGCGTAATGGAAATGAAATGGCTAACACAATGCCAAGATGAAATGATGGATGTGTAACTGAACAAATTGTATGAGGGTACCTGTTATATTGTTTATGAGATGACAGAATTGTTAAAATATTTTTATTGACATGAAGGTTGGATGTGCCCCTGCATCATTTATTTTTGTGATACATTTAAACTGAGTTTTGTTTTCCCAAAAGTACCACATAAATATACCTGGTTTTGTGTGCATTGTACATATTAATCATTAAAGAGAGAGAGTCGCCTAAACTTTCATGAAAATAAAAAATATTCTTAAATTCTGCCACTTTTACAGGTGCGTGGTGGCCGTGGTGGAATGATGCCCCGTGGTCGTACCCCTGGTCTGGCTCACCCTCGTGGCAGGACTCCAGTCCTCCCCCCCATGGTGTTGAGGAATTGGCTGGCTTCCCCATGTGCTATGGTAGCGACGTTTAGAGTCCCCCTGGTTCTGATGGCCCCCATCAATCTTGCGCTTACCGGCCAGGTTTCCACGGCCTCCCCCACGACTGGTTGCCTGACCTCGGCCAACTGCTACCCCACGTCCCACTACACGGGTACCTCGACCTCGGGCCTCTTGGTGCCGGAAGTTACAACAGCTACGGTTACGGATCGTCGGGCAGAGATTCACCATGGTATCAAGACTCGTTCGGACAGCAGTGGGGCTAACTTCCATTAGTAGTCTAAATTTAAAGCCAGAGCAAAATAAAGACTGACAAGGTGTTACCAGAATGAGACTTCCTTGGTTTAAAAGGGAACAAACTTCTGCCTACAGAATGTGCACTTGTCAGTACACGGTAATGTTATGAGAGTTCTTTTCTCGAGTCTACGTCGTCATCCTGAAGTTGTAACTTTTGTCAATAGTAGTTGATGTCTGATGAGAAAGAATTTTGATTTTATTTTTTATCACCCCAGGTTTCACTTCTCAAATGAGCTTAGATTCCTTTGACATAAATCAAGAAACTCACTCTCTCTCTCCTTGTTGTAAATTTATCCCATATACAGGTCCGTGTAAATTTTACAAACTTTTTTAGTAATAGATATTTCATTAAGATATCCAATTAATTGTGTTGTAAACTACAGCTGTTTTATCATGAATTTCAGAGTAAACAAATTTGGTTAAACTGTAAATGCTTTGAAGGGAGTTTTCTAGTCTAGCGTCTTCAGACAGTATGTAAAATATGTATGTAAACAAAGAAACATTTTTCACTTTGACTAACTGGGGTAGTCTGGTTCTTGAGGAACTGGCTGGTATTTTTTTATTGTTATTTGTTCAATGTCCCCTAAGGCTGATGGCATTAAGAAACCCCAATTTGTAAGTCTGTGATGAAAGGTGTAACCTGTCAGTTGTCTCAATAAATGTCTTTTAACACATGTTTGTATATATATATATCTTTTTTCGTGTATATTTTGAGTTACAAGTCGGGACGTATAGGAACAACTTCATGTAAAAACAGTTTTGCTCAGTCGTGATGTAAATAACTGAATATCAGGTAAATTTAAGTTTCTTGTCTTCTGCATATTTATTTTAATACTCGGAGTAATTTATGTAGGAAGTTTATTTCAAATGCCGACTTGAATGTAAAACCAGAGGTCAGAGAAGCTTAGACGTCAAGAATGTAAGTAAACCTTACTGATGTGTTAACTTTGTTTCATCTGCTGATACATCAAACTTAGATGCTACAAATAACAGTGTATAGTTTTTTATTAGCTATTTCATTATGTGTGGATAATCTAATTCAAGTTTTCAGAAACAATTCATTCGAGGATGTGTGAAATATAATTTTTCACGCTAAAAGAGAAGAAGAAATCACGCATGTAGATATTTTGACCTTTGACAAATTTCTTTTGATAACTGATTCACCCTAAAATTACCAAGTTTTTAGTTACAGGTGACATCATGCACAGTAATTTGTTTTTATTTCTTACAACACCAAAGAACTGACTGCAGAAATGGGGTAAAATCCTTTTTTTTTTTACATTTAAAAAATTTAGGGGGCCTCGACAGTAATTTGTGAGATTAATCGCAATGCTCGTGGTATTTGTTTATACTTGTGTTTACCCTACATTAATGTGAACTCTGTGACGAACAAAGTTGTGAACTCGCAAAGCAAGTTTGTGCGTTACTACTTAAGTAAAATGTGTTTAATAAGCCGGAGAAGTCCTTCGTTAGTACTGCCAGGGTTAAGTAATGGTAGGCAATAAAATTCCTATGTGTTCTTCGTAAAGAGAAATAATTTAAAAATTAGATATTGTGGTATAAAAAAGAAACATAGTGGTTAGCCACGTAAATATAACAATTCCTTTTTTCATTTATCTTTCATAGCTAGTCTTAAGAAGTATAAACAGTCAAATTCAATTTTACTTCTGATAGTGTTTTTACAGAAAAAATAATTGATTATAATTTTGATTTTTACCACTCGCCTGTACAACATTTTTCATTTAAGTTTCACTACGTATACTTAGTAAACTTTGAATATACAAGACAACCAAAATACAACTTTTATAATGGAATGTTGTGTACCATTTTGGCATTTCATACTTGGGGATGTCTGTTGTACAAAGTAGCACTAGTTAACAAAGGAATAGGGATAAACTTGAAGTACCAGGCCCATCCAAGTAACAAGTTTTACCCTCAGCTGCAGTAACAGTAGAGAACACACACACAGTTGTGTTTACATTAAATGGTAAATCCAGTCGTTTCGGACTACAAAACCTGTCCGAGGGACAACTACTATGGTGCATGTGTATTAAATCAGTCTCGATTTCTATAAAAAAAAAGATTCTCATTCTTAATTGTACATGTAATGTGTCTGAGCTCTGATTTCTCAACTTCTGAATTTATCAAAAATAGAAATACAATTCAAGTAAGAATTTAAAGTTTAAATCTACCAATTTGATTTACTGAGATATTAATAAGTATGTCAAACCCAACAGAGAAGCTCCTACTGATTCAGTAAGGACTTCAAAGATAAATCTTTATATATAAAAAAAAAAATTATACAAAAGAATTGTTTATTAAAAGCCAAATTTTGTGGAGACATAGTAAATTCAGAATTATAGTAAACATTAGTATGTATAGTTTTGCAAATATGTGATGTGTCAGTTTGACAGGATTCACAGACATCTAATCAAGAGTAGCACCACTGTATTAAATGATTTTTTTTCCACGTAGATGCGGCTCATAGAATTGCTCCGAGTTTTTCAAGTACAAACTTTTTATCGCATCATACTTCACCAATTAGCATCCTAACGAAATCCTCGTGTTTCTGTAGTGTATTAAGAAACCTCCAGAACAGTTGAGTAAAACTGATATTAATAGTTCTCTACTTGATTAAAAGTTGTTTTTAATGTCTAATTAAAATATTTCAAGTGGATTCTCATAGTTTTGATTCAGATTTTTGCCCAATGATACACAAGAGCTAATAGTCATTCCTAATTTTAGTCATGGCTCATAGAATAGCTCCAAGTTTTTCAAGTACAAACTTTTAGCTCATAGCTCCGTCATCTCTTGAGTGATTTGAGATCTAATTACTCTTTTGGACTCAAGAGTCAAATCCTTTTGATTGATGTATTTGACCAAGTTTAAGGACTTGTAGATTAATTTATTCTTATCCTGCCTAAAAGAATTTCAATTTAAGGATAGGCTGGTAGAGATCCTGATGAATAATAAAATCAAATCGGGTATACGCATCCCCCATGCTTGGTATTGCTGGCGCACAAAAATATAGTTAATAAAAATGTCTATTAGATTAATGCAAACTAACTCTGCCAAAAAGAATTTCAATTGCTGTGGCTATTAAGGATTCATTCTGTAATTAGTATCTTGAAAATCATTATTTTCTTAAACACTTGTATAACTGCTAACATATAAAGCTGTTCATTATCAGCAATATTAAAATTTAAAATAAAAAACGAAATAAAATCACCTTTTTTAATAAATCCCAATAATGGAGATGCCAGCTTCAAAAATATTTACAAATTCTCCTGATTATATTCAGAGGTTGACCCCATTGTACTCTTTTTATGAAAACAGTTGCAATCTGTGTTCAGAATGTGTTGTAAGAAAGTTTACGGTCTTTGTACTTTTCTTTATTTGAGTACGAAAAACAGTTAGTGAAAGGAATCTGCGCATTCGTGTATATTAGCTTCAACTGTGTACAAAAAAAAACTGTATGTAGATGAGAGGAGATGTTTTCTTCCCCCAACTATGAGAACTTGTTAATAGGTGAGAATAACGTTTTGAAAGTTTATTTGTAGAAAGTAGTATCAAAATTGACGAGTAAAAATGTGTTTTTTATGTCCAGGTTCCAAATAACATTAAAGATTGCGATATTGTTGAATTTTGTGATAATAAGTTTCACGATTAGTTGATGGAAATGTACAGGGAAGAAAGAAGATCTGATAACCAATTAGTAACTAGTTATTATTATTATTATACATTTAATTTTCACTAACATCGTTTTCAAACTGTGAATTGAAACTTTCTTCAGCATAGTATAAGTTCTCTCACTGTCAACATTACCAGGGGACAAACAGGTTAGGGTCCACGAGTCTCTACATCTATGGAAACCATGTGATGTTGAGAGCTGTTTCATTTTGAAGATGTACCATCATATTTAATCTAGTTTCCTTTACCATCATGCTTTTTGATGTCATGATCTTCAAGAAGTTGCAAGCCTTCAAATTCATCTTTCGACTGTTCAGTGGATGAACCTGGTGGCCAGTATCACACTGCTGAAAGTGGAAAGAAATAGTTTCACTGAAGGATTATCCATCTGCTCGGCCATCAAATGACAGAATAGCACCTGATTTTGTAACGGCTTCAGTCAATCTGGCATTGGAATTAGGTCATTCTAAGTAAAAAACATTGAAGTTGTTTGTTGCTGGCTTTCATCTGTGTAGGGTCATTTTTATGTGTTTGTTCACATCACAGATGTCTGATGCTGCAACTTTAACGTCGTGATTGTATATGATACATCTAGAATAGCTCTTTTCTCCGATTGTTCTCAGTAATCATCCTACAAAACCTGTTTTCTCATCAACTTTTATTCCCTTGACTTTCTTGTAGGGAGTCACCATTTTGGAAGAAGGACCTGAAAGGACTATGTTATGATAATGATACTGTATTTCACCAACAAAAACATGAAACTCAGGAGTGACATTGAATCCATAGTAATACGGTCATAGGCATTCTAAACTAACAAAAACTGTTGTACTCGACAGGTACGATTACATGTACGTTTATCGGTTTAATTAGAGTTAAGACTAAACAGGTGTTAGGCAATGGCTATTTAATTTGGTGTGACGACTGGTAAAATTACTAGTGGAAGGACTGACATTGACAAGGGTCATCCATGTATACCAGGCAACAGTATCCAACCTAATCTAGAAGAATTTCCATCTGGAAAAATGACATAAGTCATGTGTATCTAAGTTGGTTCTTTTATGTAGCCAAGAAAAATTGGCAGTACATGGTTACACATGTACTTGTCTTGTTCCAGTCAATTGATGAAAATAATTTCCAAAATTGGTTAACATCATTACCAGGTCTTTTTATGAGTAGGATGATACTTCTAAAAAAAAAGTGTTCATGATGTGAGGCTTTGTTAGTGCTTCTTGAACAAAAATTAATTCATTGCTGGCTCGCTAAGCCTATTACGACTTCCTCAGAGAAAACTATTTCTAAGAACTCGAGTGAAAAGGGAGAAGAATGTGTAGTAATATTTTATCCAGTCCTTATTAAAACTCTTCGGGTTGGTTGGGATACGATAAGACATAGTAGTGGTATAGGTGCTATTTATATCATCGTGTGCATGAACAAGAACTGTTACGGTGTGAACTAGATTAAGTCAAGTATATGTAAGTATCAATCTACAAATCAGAATTACAGTAAAGATTAATAATTGTATGAATAGTACATAGTTGAGGACAAACAGTAGCATGCAGTGACACTTAATGAAGTGTACGTGGACAACTGTAACATTTAATTGGGTCACAATGAAGTGTACATGGACTTTGATAACTGTAACATTTAATTGGGTGACACTTAATGATGTGTACGTGGATTTTGATAACTGTAACATTTAATTGGGTGACACTTAATTAAGTGTATGTGGACTTTGATAACTGTAACATTTAATTGGGTGACACTTAATTAAGTGTACGTGGACTTTGATAACTAACATTTAATTGGGTGACACTTAATGTAGTGTATGTGGATTGATAACTGTAATATTAATTGGTGACACTTAATGAAGTGTACGTGGATTTGATAACTAACATTAA